AGGGTAAACAAAGGAGGAGGCTGCAATGCTTGGTAAGAAATGTACGCATTATCCTGCCCATGCAATTGTAACCCCTCTGTACAGTTTGTTCACAAATAAAATAAAATTAAAAAAATGATAAAAAAAATACACACGGGTATCTTGGCACTGAAGTAAAAATTCTCCTATCTCTGTTTTCTAAAAGCTTGAGCCATGTGGAATCCTCTATTGCTCTCTACATTTTCCTGTGCTGTTTGCTTAATCTAGGATATGCTTTGTATTTTCTCTTGTCAACGTCCCACTCATTCTTCGAGGGTCAGCTCGAATGCTATTTTTCTGCCTGTCATCCACAGAAAGGACCTTGGATAACTTCTCATTTAAAATTTTTGGTTGGCAGCTCTGTCTGAAGAACTTTCCTTGATGTTTTATAAGTTTGGGTGTTCAGTAAGGTAGATGCTACCTGCTTATGGGTATTAAGTACTTGAATGTGGCTAGGGACCAAGGAAGTAAAACATTAATTTTCATCTAATTAAATACCCCAGTGTGGACAGTGGCTCCTGTGTTGTGCAGTGCAGTTCTATGGACTCTCTGGCCTCTCAGAGCATTTTCTTTTTAACCATGCAACTAACATTTATTGAGTACCTTATTGGTGAGGCCTAGTAATAGACACTAGAAATTTAAGCACGACTGGCATACAGCTCCCACCCTTAGGAATTAGCACCAACATCTTCTCTTTTATCCTAGTTGATGGTATGGTTCTCTTTGTTATAAAGACATGCTTTCTTAGGACAGGAATGTGTCTTTCTTGTGATTATATCTCCTAGGACCTAAACATGATGCAGGTATACATCATTGTCCTAGAAGCCGTTCTTACCAAATTACATTTTTTTCTCATGAAAAGTTAATCTGACTAGAAATTTAGAAATAAAGCATTCATATTCTTCACAGGTAAAATTATTGTGGTCATTCTTTTTTTTGGTGGGGCAGGGAGGGGGTCAGTCATGGGGCTTGAACTCTGGGCCTGGGTGCTGTCCCCTCAGCTCTTCAGCTCAAGGCTAGTGCTCTACTACTTGAGCCACAGTGTCACTTCCAGTTTTTTGGTGGTTCATTGGAGATAAGACTGTCTTGCCCAAGCTGGCTTTGAATCTCAATCCTCAGATCTCAGCCTCCTGCGTAGCTAGGATTACAGGTATGAATCACAGGTACCCAGCTGTGGTCATTCTTATTATGGACTGAAAGAGGAGACTTTACATGGATTTAAACAGATCTTTTAATTCAACTATCAAAAATGCAAGTCCATAGTGAATGTAAGAGGAGATAAAAGGCACATGGATAGGCTTCTCTTTTTCTATGATTTTCTTTTTTTCCTGTGCACTGTCCCTGAACTTTTTGCTCAAGGCTAGCATTCTACCACTTAAGCCATAGGTCCACTTCTGGCATTTTGGTGGTTAATTGGAGATAAGTGTCTGACTGACTTTCCTCCTGCCCAGGCTAGCTTAGAACCATCAGCTTCCTGAGTAGTTATGATTACAGGTGTGAGCCACTGGCACCCAACTTTTTATTTTTAAAGCTAGGTGCAATTCACACAACATAAAACTCTCTCTCTCTCTCTCTCTCACATACACATACACACACACATTCATGCAATGCCAGTCTGGGGCTTGAACTCAGGGCCTGGGCACTATCCTTGAGCTGCTTTTGCCCAAGGCTAGCACTCTACCACTTGAAACACAGTGTCACTTCTGGCTTTTTCTGTTTATGTGGTACTAAGGAATTGAACCCAGGGCTTCATGCATGCTAGGCAATCACTCTACCATTTAGTCACATTCCCAGCCCATCTTAAATATATTTTTTTTGGAGAGGGTCCAGTCGTGGAGCCTAAACTCTGGGTCTGGGTGCTGTCCTTCAACTCTTTAGCTCAAGGTTAGCACTCTACCACTTGAGCCACAGCTCCACTTCCGGCTTTTTTTTCTTTTTGCTTATGTGGTGCTGAGGAATTGAACCCAGAGCCTCATGCATGCAAAGCAAGTGCTCTACCACTGAGCCACCTTCCCAGCCCATCTTAAATATTTTTGAGTGTTGTTTTAGTGCCATTAAGCCCATTCACCCTGTTGGACAACTATCTTCCCCTAAACTCTTTTTCATCTTGCAGAACTGAAACTCTACAAGTATTAAGCAATGATTCCTTATTTCTCTACACAATGCCAGCCTCTGGCAATCATTGTACTACTCTATTGTTTTGCCTAATCTAAGCACATCATATAAGTGGTTGGCTTACTTCACTGAATCATTGGTAGTTCTACTTTTAATATTCAGAGGAACCAATATACTGTTTCCCCAAACAAAAAAGATTTCTATATTTTTTTATTCCTGTTAACATTGATAAAACATTCTAATTTCTCATCCTCCGCAACTCTTGTTATTGTGTGCTTTTTATTATTTTTTAATTTTATTTTATTTGTGAAGATACTGTACAGAGGGGTTACAATTACATGGGCAGGATAATGCGTACATTTCTTACCAAGCATTGCATCCTCCTCCTTTTGTTTACCCTTCACATCCCTTCCCAGCCTCCCCCCTCCCCCCCAATCCCAATCTTTCTCCTTCCCCCCCTCCCCCCCCCGCAACAAAGGTGGAAAACCCCGTTTGGACATGACAACTTGTACTTCTCATTGTTGCAACAGGTCCACCTGTATCTTTAAACAGCTGGTTTTTCCCCATCTCCTCCTCAAGTTATACTGACATCAAATATAGTGAAAGCAGGGGTTATACTGTGGGGGAGGGACATACAAAGCAACAAAGAGATAATCTTATAAGTGCATTAGAAACACATGCATGAAAGAAAAAAACATTAAGATACATATCTAAGGGTTCAATTTCCTGACATCACATTATCTGACCTTTTCCACTTGACTCATAGATATACTAGATATTGCAAATAAGGGAAACCATGGGACCTATGTTTCTTTGGGCCTGGCTTACTTCACTTAATATAATTTTTTCCAAGTTTTTCCACTTCCTAACAAATGGGGCAATGTCATTCTTTCTGATGGAGGCATAGAATTCCATTGTGTATATATACCACATTTTCTGGATCCATTCATCTACTGAGGGGCATCTGGGTTGGTTCCATATCTTAGCTATGGTAAATAATGCTGCAATAAACATAGTTGTGCTGGTAGCTTTAGTGTGGTCTTGTTTGTAAACATTTGGGTAAATGCCCAAAAGTGGGATTGCTGGGTCATAGGGGAGTTCTATGTGAAGCCTTTTGAGGAACCTCCATACTGCTTTCCAAAGTGGTTGAACAAGTTTACATTCCCACCAACAATGAAGTAAGGTTCCTTTCTGTCCACATCCCCTCCAGCATCTGTTGTTGTTAGAGTTCTTGATTTTTGCCGTTCTAACGGGGTGAGGTGATATCTCAATGTTGTTTTGATTTGCATTTCTTTTATGGCTAGGGATGTTGAACATTTCTTCATGTGTCTATTGGCCATCCTTCTTTCTTCTTCAGAGAAGTTTCTCTTTAAGTCTTTCGCCCACTTATTTATTGGGCAGTTGTTTCTTTGAGGATTTGTTGTTGGGGGGTTTAATTTTTTGAGTTCCAAGTATATTTTAGAAATGAGACCCTTGTCTGTTGTATGGCTAGTAAAGATCTTCTCCCAATCCGTGGGCTTTCTATTGATCTTGCTAGCTATGTCATTTGCTATTGTGTGCTTTTTAAATAGCAGCCATCTGAATGGATGTGAGATGTTATCTCATTTAGTTCTGATTTACATTTCTCTAAGGATTAGTGATGTTGAACCTCTTTTTTGTATGCTCATTGACCATCTGAGTATTTTCTTTAAGGAAAATTTGAGGTATAATTACAAACTATGTATAATAAAGTATACCCACATTTAAAATAGAGTTTGAAGAGTTTTTGCGAGAATGTGTGTGTGTGTGTGTGTGTGTGTGTGTGTGTGCATGTGTGAATTCATGTAGTATTAATCCAATCAAGATTTAGAACATTTCAGTTAGGCACTAGTGTCTCATATCTGTAATCCTAGCTACTTAGGTGGTTGAAGACAAGAAAATCATGGTTTGACTCTGGCCTGGAAAGAAATAAGTTGGAAGAACCCCTTTCAATCTTCATTTGGATACAGTGTTATATACCTGCCATCTTAATGTATGTGTAAAGCTGAGATTGGGAGGATTATAGCTCCAAGCCACTCTGGGCAGAAATGTCCACAAGAATCTATCTCTGTGGAAAGAAGCTGAGCATTGTGGTGTGTGCTTGTCATCTCAGCAATAAAGGGAGCCTAAAATAGGCTGACTGTACACTAGGCATGTGCCTAGAGAGGAAACAAGATCCTATCTTAAAAATAACCTGGGGCTAGGAACATGGCTTAGTGGTAGAGTGCTTGCCTAGCATGCATGAAGTTCGATTCCTCAGTACCACATAAACAAAAAAAGCCAGAAGTGGTACTGTGACTCAAGTTGTAGAGTGCTGGCCTTGAACAAAAAAGGAAGCTCAGGGGGCCTGGGAAGGTGGCTCAGTGGTAGAGTGCTTGCCTTGCATGCATGAGGCCCTGGATTCAATTCCTCAGCACCACATAAGCAGAAGAAGCCAGGAGTGTCGCTGTGGCTCAAGTGGTTGAGCACTAGCCTTGAGCTGAAAAGCTGAAGGACAGAGTCTAGGCCCAGAGTTCGGATCCCACGACCGGCCAAAAAAAAAAAAAAGGAATCTCAGTGACAATGGCAAGGCCTAGATTTCAAGCCCCAGGACTGGCAATAAACAAACAAAAAGGAGTGTACTAAAGAGCTGGAACAGTGTAGTGCACCTAGGGTGAAAATGTGGGGCCCTCAGTACAAACTTCAGCACTCTCCCATCCCTTCTCCTCCCCTCCCCCCCAAAAAAAAGTTAGAATATGCTAGAAGGCTACCTTATGTCCTTGGGCAGACAGTAACCTTCCTCTCCTGGCAAGCACTGACATGTTTTCTGTTACTGTATACATTTGTGTTGCCTGTCTTAGTATTCAATTGACGTGGCGTTGTGCTGTGTGTTCTTTTGTGTTACTTCTTTTAAGATTTCTCCAGGTTGTTGCAGGTAGGTAGATCCTATTTTGAGAATGAAACTCCTGACCAATGTGAAGGTGGCAGGTCACAATAATGGGTATTTATTAAGCATTTGTCAAGTGTTACAAACACTTATTTACTCCTAACATCAATCCCACAAGGTCATAGTATTCACCCTATTTTTATATGAGGAAACTATTGCTTCTTAGTCTTTTGGCTAAGATCAAGTGGAGATGAGGAAACTGTCACACTGCACATAAACCTTTTGTCAGATATGTAGCTACCAAGTGTCAGAGCCTGGTTCCAGAGTCAGTGTACAAAACTGTCCAGTCTACTGATTTATCAGGCACTGGGAAATCCCAAGCACTTTCAGAGTGCCTGGCATTCTTCCTGCTCCTCCTCTTCTTTTCTTTTTTTCCACCACCATCCCCAACCTCTTCTAAATAAGGACGTAGTATACTTGTCTAAGCAGAGTCTAATTTGTCACTAGTCATGAGTAGTCCAGGGGACTAAAAGGTGACACTAGAAGAATAGAAGAGAGAGCAATTGTATTATCTTCCTCATTAGTACCCGCATACCAGATTTTATGGGCCAATGATTATTTTCATGCTTGTTTGTCTCATAAGACTGAATAAGAACACAAAAAAATTAGTTGTTCAACTCTGAGTCAGTGTTTATTTAGAAAGAAATGGTAACCTCTCTATGGTCTTGCAATCAGTACTGAAATTATTTTACAGCACTTTTTAGTGATGCACATTATATGTGTGTGTGTGTGTGTGTGTGTGTGTGTGACTGAGGATTGACTTCAGAGCCTCATATCTGCTAGACAAACACTCTACCACTTGAACTATACCTACCATGCCCTGCCCCTTTGCTTTTGGTTTGTTTTTCAGATAGGGTCTCATGCTCTTTGTCAGGGCTGGCTCCAAACTGCAATCCTCCTGTCCAAAAACTCCCTAAGTGGCTGAGATTAGAGGTATGCTGCACCATTCTCAGCCTACTAAACATTTTTAAACAAGAGGTTTCCTGTCCACTCCTTCACTCAAGCCTTATAAAAGGTAAAGTACTTTGGAAAGGCAGGAATTACAAAGTCTTATTTTCCAAGGTAACTAAATGACTTGGCTGAGATTATAAACTTATCTCTTCTGCATGATCTTCAGTATTAATGGTTGAACCAGGCCTAAACTGCAGCCCTTAGCATCATCCCTTAGTTCTTGCGCTGTTCAGTAGAATAGCGGTCTGACTGTAAGGAAAAAGTGTGTTTTCAATTTGGATTACGGTCGTATTAGTGAAAGATATCGTACTTCACTTCTGTAGCTAGAGAACAAATAATTTTTTCATACTTTTGCATAAGGATGGAAAGTTCCAACAGCTGATATTTTAATTATTCTCATCTTTCCCACTTGCTTTCACAGACCAATGACTTTTTCTATTTCTTAGTGAACAAACTTCATGAGTACTTGCCAGAGTCTAAGGATAAAAATGCACTTCAAAATAAAAGTCAAAGGGCTGATGAGTTGGCGTAAGTACTAATTAGATTATCAGATGTTCCTCTGCTGTTAAGGATAAATGGAAAGCATCAGACAAAATATATACAGTAGTAATGATTACTAGTATGACAAATTTTGCCTCATTTTTTTTTTCAAAATTAAGACCCAAAGATGTGTGTGTGATCTCCAGTCCTGGGCTTGAATCCAGGAGCTGGACACTGTGCCTGAGATTTTTTTTTGCTCAAGAATAGTGCTATACCACTTGAGCCAAAGCTCAAGTGGCTTTTTGGTGATTAATTAGAGACAAGGCTCCAGACGTTCCTGCCTAGGCTGGCTTTGAACTGTGGTCCTCAGCTCTCAGCTTTTTGAGAAGCTAGGATTACAGAAATGAGCCACTGGTGCCCAGAGTCAAAGATTTTATTTTATATTATAAAGAAGTATTCCTTTTGTTCTAATTTAAATGGGAGGATATGTAAGAAACTAGTCATATAGGCTGCCTCAAAGCATGTGATTGAGGGAGAGATATCTCTTGCTGTTTCCCTTTGTACCTTTGACAGTTTGAATCATGTATTACCTATTTGAAAAAAGTTAGTTATTAAAATCACTAAAAAATAATGTGTGATCATCCTAAAAACTTTGAGAAAATATGCATACAGGAAAATATGAAGATGAGCTGGGCACTGGTGGCTCACACCTGTAATCCTAGCTACTCAGGAGGCTGAGATCTGAGAATCATGGTTCAAAGCCAGACTTGGCAGGAAAGGCTATGAGATTCTTATCTCCAATAAACCACTCAGAAAACCAGAAGTGGTGGTGTGGCTCAAGTGGTAGAGCACTAGCCTTGAGCTAAAGAGCTGAGGGACAGTGTCCAGGCCCAGAGTTCAAGCCTCACAACCAACCAAAAAAAAAAAAAAGCATATGAAGATGACTTAATCCTTACTTGCAACTATCATCCTTCATTCAACACGTTTATTTTTTTTTAATTTTTTATTGTAAAGATACTATACAGAGGGTTACAGTTACATGAGCAAGGTAATGAGTACACTTCCTATTGAGCAATGTTACCCCTCCATTGTTTTCCCCCTACCATCCCTTCCCTCCCTACCTTCCCTGAGGTTCTTTTTTTTTTTTTTTTAATTTCAACACATGTTTAAATGCTTACTACGCAGCAGTCACAGACTAGGTGCCCAGCCAATGCTGGCAATTTAATATACAGGACTTTTTTTGGGGGGGGGGTCCGGTCGTGGGGCCTGAACTCTGGGCCTGGGAGCTGTCCCTCAGCTCTTCAGCTCAAGGCTAGCGCTCTACCACTTGAGCCACAGCGCCACTTCCAGCTTTTTTCTTTTTGCTTATGTGGTGCTGAGGAATTGAACCGAGGGCCTCAGGCATGTAAGGCATGCACTCTACCACTGAGCCACCTTTTCAGCCCCAATGTACAGGATTTCTTTCTCATGCTTTTATCCTCTATGAATATCTGAAAGCAATTATATCCAAGATAATTGATTTTGTGGAATTCTGACTTTGTAATGAAATCATGCCATTTCCCTTAATTTTTCCTTTGTTTTCTAGGGCATGCATTGAAATTATACAAACTCTAGGACTGATGTTCAGAGAAACAGAAGTTGAATTATCACGTCTGAATACACTGGCAGCTAAGAAGTAAGGTGTTTTTAGTTAGTTTGTTTGTTTTTAGAAGACATGGGCCCTTATAGTTTCAGCCCATTCACCTCTATCTCTTCCTCCTTTTGTGCCAGTTCTGGGGCTTGAATACACAGCCTGGTACTCTACCACTTGAGCCACAGCTCCACTCCTGGCTTTTTTTTAGTGCTTAATTGTAGGAAAGAGTTTCATACTTTCCTGACCAGGCTGGCTTTGAATTGTGATCCTCACATCTCAGCTTCCTGAATAGACAGGATTACAAGGGTAAGCCACTGGCACCTGGCTGCATTCATCACTCTTGTTGAGTGTCTCTAACACTCTGAACTCTCCAACTCCTCTGCTAAACTGTCCTGGAAGTTACGCTCTTGTCTCTAACCTATCTGTAATGAGTACATTCTCTGGCGACGCTCTTGTCTCTAACCTATCTGTAATGAGTACATTCTCTGGCGCATGGCTAAGTGCTCTATCCCTCTGGATCTTTACAGGTACAGAAATTTTCTTGGTATAATTTTATCTTTTGTTTTAGTTTAGTGAGCTTGAAAAAAGACAAAGTGATCCATCATACATTAAAATCCAGGGAGTCGGGGCTGGGAAGGTGGCACAGTGGTAGAGTGTTTGCCTTGCATGCATGAGGCCCTCGGTTAGATTCCTCAGCACCACATAAGCAGAAAAAGCTGGAAGTGGGTCTGAGGTTCAAATGGTAGAGCGTTGGTCGACAGCTGAAGAGCTGAGGGACAGTGCCCAGGCCCAGAGTTCAGGCCCCACAACGGACAAAAAACAAAACAAAACAACCCCCCCCCAAAAAAAACCAGGGAGTCTCTACTACAAATTTCTAGGATATGCCCATATTCTCCTTTCAAAGGCAGGAGTTATAGTAGCCACATTTATTTTATATGGTTATGTGCTACTTAATGACAAAGGTGTACTTACATAAACCTAGATGGCATGGCCTATTACAAACCTACTATATGGTATATATGTATACACATACATATACACATGCGTGCATGCACACACACATACACTTATATAGTATATAACCTACTGCTCCTCCCAGAATACTCTCCTTTTGGTTAGTTAACTAATGAAGGATCTTAACTGTATTTGCAAAGCCCCTTCACTTTTTGCATCTAATGTAGTGCATCTAATGTAAGTGATAGCTGAACACATTCCCAGGTCCTACCATACTTAGAGTAAGGATTATGTAGCATATGTATACCTGGGAGGTGGGAACACTGAAAGCCATTTGCCTTCCAGAATAGCGTAGATTGACAAACAAGACTCCAAGTTTGCTCTTCAAAGTTTGCATTATGCCACTTTGAATTCATGCATTAGAAATCATATCAATCTGAAGAATAAAAGTATTATCTTGTTTTTGCCAGTCCTGGGGCTTGAACTCAGGGCCTGAGCACTGTCCCTGAGCCTCTCTGTGCTCAAGGCTAGCACTCTACACTTGAGTGAGCCACAGCACCACTGCCAGCTTTTTCTGTTTATGTGATACTGAGGAATCAAACCCAGGGCTTCATGCACGCTAGGCAAGCACTCTACCACTAAGCTACCTTCCAAGCCCTGTTGGGACCATTTTTAAGCCTGCTATATCAATTATATAAGTCTCTATTTTCAGGATGAAAGAATAATTTTGACTAAAATTATTGGCCTAGTGGATTTTAAATTAGGTGAGTTGGCAGAAGGAGTAGATTTCAAATTAAATTCCATTTGAACAAATAAAAAGTAGTTATTCATTTTAGCAGTTTCCTCTTTGTTTTCGTAAGTGGAGATCTTACTAGATCAATCCATGGTTCTATATTTTTGAAATGTATCATATTCATATTTCAGTATTGTTGGGGTTCATTTTATATGTTGTCACCGTAAGTGGCGAAAATTTGAGTGTTCTTTCTCTTGGCTTTAAAAGGACTGTTACTGAAAATAAAGGACTGTGATTAAATGTAACAGTGAATGGAATGCCAATTTAAACTTAATATCCAGCAATGTTTTATTCAGGAAAGAGTTTTCTGGTGATTTTTAAAGGACATTCTAAAAGCAAGACTGGTCATTTTAAGTAGGTCAAATGAAACATAAGTAAATATCCTACATGTTTTTCTCTTCAAGAAATGTAACAATATAGTTTTTATTTTCCATATTGAAGAATTATATTGCTCTTTGAGTTAGAAAAAATAAGGGAAATTGTATTGTTATTAGAAATGTGCCTTGCTGATCATAACAGTGTTTTAAATGATTGCAAAGAGTAGGAAGCCTCAAGTATTACTTAACAAGACTGTTTATAGCATCCCACTATAAGAAGAGTGCTTTATGGATATAGAGAATTTTTATATAAAGCTCCATCTTTAAATTATTTTACAACTCCTCTGCCTCAAAGCTACTTGATAATGTCTTGAGTTAAATAGCTGCTTCACTTTCATTTTTTGTTTATCTTTTTTCCTATTTTCTTCTCTTCCCTTTCGTTTCTCCTTTCCTGTCATCTTTCTTTTTTTTGGTCGGTCATGGGGCCTGAACTCTGGGCCTGGGCACTGTCCCTGAGCTCTTCAGCTCAAAGCTAGTGCCCTACCACTTGAGCCATAGAGCCACTTCTGGCTTTTTTCTGCGTATGTGGTGCTGAGGAATTGAGCCCAGGTCCTCATGTATGCAAGGCAAGCACTCTACCACTGAGCCACCTTCCCAGCCCCTCCTGTCATCTTTCCCTTCCCTTCTCTGTCTTTCCCTTAGTCTTTTAAATTATAAAATATTTATTTATTTACTTTTCCCATGGAGTTTCTTTTCTGTCTCTTTGCTTTCAGTTTATGTATATCTTTACATTAAAATCTTTAAATTAAGAGAAATATATGTGCTATAAATGAACATGTGTAAGATGTAGGGAAATCACTGTGTAAAGTGTTTTTTTTAATACCATAAATGCATTTATTGGAATATGATCTACAGAAAAGTTTTCTCTTAAAAGTTTTAGCTTCCCATCCTGGTTTTGGTTTTTGTTTGTTTTTGGCCGGTTGTGGGGCCTGAACTCTGGGCCTGGGCACTGTCCCTCAGCAATTCAGCTCAAGGCTAGTGCTCTCTACCGCTTGAGCCACAGCACCACTTCTGGCTTTTTTTGCATATGTGGTACTGAGGAGTTGAACCCAGGGCCTCAAGCATGCAAGGCAAGCACTCTACCACTGAGCCACCTTCCCAGCCCTTCCCATCCTGTTTACATTTTAGCTTCTTAACCCTTTTTTCTCTTTGTTCTATTACTCTTCTAACACTGTTTAGTGCCCTGTTAAGTGATTTTTCACCTCTATTTTCAATCTCTTCCCATCTTTTCTAGTCTCTCCAATTTCCTTCTAGTTGGGTTATACACTGGCACTCCCAACGAACTTAGTTTAACCAAGTACTTCCTCTACTTCCTTTAAGCCTAGATCCTATTTTGCTTGTAAAGTTTGCCTGGAATTAATCTATAAAACCATAAATAATTAATAATCTGTAAGTAATCCCTAAAAAATCCTTTTGAAAATATTGCTTCTATTGATATCACCAATTTTCACTTAAATCCAGACATATTGAGCTTTCTGAATTATGTGAACTAGTGGAAATATATTTGCTCTGAGCAAAAAATTATCAGAAATTGCATTTTCATTTAAATTTCCAACTTTTAAAAAATGATCAATTTTTCATTTAGCTTTCTGGTCAAGGGCTCAAAAATCAGTCAAGAAGTGAGTGCTTTTCAAAACCTTACTCATTAATGGTTTTTAAATTTCTTTTTCAGGGGAATGCTCTTTAATCTCTTGGTCATTTTAATTAGTAAGCCTCAGATTCCAAAATCTTGTCCTGTGTTTGACATCCAGTTGGTGGCTGATGCAACTTTAGTTGAAATGTCTTTTGATGCTGAGGTGAGATGAGAATTTTGAGAGACTAAATACAATTTATAATGTGGCTCATAATGATAAAGAACATGGAACAAATCGAAGTGTAAACATTTTATTAACCTAAGAACTCACAAAACTATTCTGTAAATATTACTATACCCATTTTATGTTTGAAGTCATATATACTGAAGGAAATAGTGTTCTTTATAAATTATATAAATCTGTTTCTGTGAGACTATATACAAAGTTAATATATCAATATTAGGGTTCCAACTGGCAAAAAGTACCAGTATTGTCTTAGAGATTTTAGGATTAACCTGGGATTTAATTTACTATCTCTCTACTTATGTGAACAGTACCAGCAATTCTTTTAGGGTTGTAGTAAAACATGAGAAATATCAAACTGTCCAGATGTGTGACTTCTTACATAATAAATCAGCTTATATGAGCTTATTTTAAGACAAGTCAACCCAGGATGAAATGTGATTTGATAGTTCTTGAACATACAATTAAAGTTATGTTTTAGAAAACTCTCAACTTCTTATTTAGAAAATACTGACTGAGCACTACCAAACTGCTAGGCAGGTAGTGTAAGCAGAAACAAAACAGATACTCTCTCTGCTTCACTAGTTTAGAAGATGACATTTAGATCCTGGCTTGAGTCAGGAATTACAAGAAGATAGGTTCAAAAGGAGAAATACTAAGCTTGGATTTGGGTTTTTAAATTTGATTTACCAATGTTATTTCCATTTGAAAATATCTATTGGACAGAATACACCAGTCTCAGTTTCATTCAGATTGTCTGATCTATTGCAAATGGAAAGTTAGTGTGGCCATAAAGAAGATTCATTTTGAGTCCAAGGCCTAACAGAGAGGCAGATTTCAAACTAAGGCTCTTCCCCACAGTCAATTCTCATGCTCAGAGTGGATTATGGGTCACAAGACAGCCTCTCCAATTCTCTGGAGTCCTTGAGAGCCATCAGATATTTCTTTTTATTTTTTATTTTTGCCAGTCCTTGGGCTTCAACTCAGGGCTGGGACACTGTCTCTGATCTTCTTTTGCTCAAGACTAGCACTCTACTACTTAAGCCACAATGCCACTTCTGGCTTTTTCTGTTTATGTGGTAATGAGGAATTGAACCTAGGGCTTTATGTATGCTAGGCAAGCACTCTGCCACTAAACCACATTCCCAGCCTCAGTCAGATGTTTCTAAGACCTGTATTTACTCATTTACTCATGCTACAGAAGAAACCACAGTTCTTTGTGGATCTCAATGATTTAGCAAAGATATATATATATATATTTTTTTTTTTTTTTTAATTTTTTGTCATGGGCCTTGAACTCTGGGCTTGGGTGCTATCCCTCAGCTCTTCAGCTCAAGGCGAGAGTTCTACCGCTTGAGCCACAGTGCCACTTCCGGTTTTCGAGTGGTTTATTGGAGATAAGAGTCTCACGGACTTTCCTGCCCGGGCTGGCTTTGAACCGCGATCCTCAGATCTGAGCCTCCTGAGTAGCTTGGATTACAGGCGTGAGCCACCAGTGTCCGGCCAAGTTATATATAATTTTTATGTGCTAATATTCTATGGACCATTATGACTTCTTTTCTTGACCTAGTTTTTGCACCATTATGTAATAGCTCTGTAGTCTCTGTCTGAAAACCAATTTCTTAAATATAAAACAAAAATGTATCATATTAATTACAATTTTAGTTAAAAATCTTTTAGAGGGCTGGGAAGGTGGCTTAGTGGTACAGTGCTTGCCTAGCATGCATGAAGCTCTGGGTTCAATTTCTCAGTACCACCTACACAGAAAAAGCCAGAAGTGGCACTGTGGCTCAAGTGGTAAGAGTGCTAGTCAAGGACAGTGCCCAGACCCCCAGTTTAAGCTCCAAGACTGGAACCAAAAAAAAAAAAATCTTTCAGAGGTATTAAATGAAACCAGAAGCAATGACTGTTTTCTGGCTCAGCCTGTTCTGTTGTATTGATTACTCTTGAAAATTCTAGTTACAGAAGCTTATTCTGGAATACACTGATACAGCTACAGCACTTTTATACGAGATACTTCTTGTCTTTCAGCAGGTATAGTACACATTCTTATTGCAAATCTTATATGAGTATATGTACATATCCCCCGTATATAATGATTAACAACATACAAAAAAAAAAAAACTCCTATCAAAGAGAGTCACCTTCCTGGGTACTGGTAGCTCATGCCTTTAATCCTAGCTACTCAGGAGGCTGAGATTTAAGGATCAAGATTCAAGACCAGCTCAAGCAGGGAAAGTCTTATCTTCAATTAACTACCAGAAAACCAGAAGTGGAGCTGTGGTTCAAAATGGTAAGAGTGCTATCATTGAGTGAAAGAGCTCAAGGACAACTCCCAAACTCTGAGTTCAAGTCCCACAACCAAAAATAAAGTCTCCAAAATGGGTTGATTTAAACACTACTACTTTTTTTGTGTGTGTGTGCAGGTCCTGGGGCTTGAACTCAGGGCCTTGGTACTGTCCCTGAGCTTTTGTGCTCAAGGCTAGTGCACTAACATTTGAGACACAGCTCCACTTCTGGCCTTTCTGGTGATTAATTGAGATAAAACTCTTATGGACTTTCCTGCCTCGGCTGGCGTTTAACCATAATCCCCAGATCTCAGCCTTCTGAGTGCTTGAATTACAGGCATGACCCACTGGTGCCTGCCCACTTCTTTAAAAATTTGAGACCAGGTCTTGTTACATAGTCCACATTGGCTAAACTCTTGATCCTCATACTTCAACCTTCTGAGTGCTATGATTACCACACACCTTTAAATAATACTGCCTTTGCTCTTAAATACCTATCTAGCTCATTTAACAAATCCTGACTTTAACAATTTGATTAATCAGGATAAACATTTGAGAATAGGTATCCTTTTAGATAAAAATTAGACTTAATAAGTATATTTTATTTCCTTGAGTTTTTAGGGAAATCTTGGATTGGGATCAACAAAGTTTGCTATTAGCTGGATGATGTCCTTTCTACAAAGTTGTCCTACCATAGTAAGTACCTAGAAGTAAAAGGAGAAAAAAAAATACTACCACTCAAGACTAAGCAGATGTTTTTGTGCTTAATAAAACCCACCTTTTCTCTATGATGTGGTCAAGTTTATGAAACAGAAACAAAATATCAATTTGATAATCCTAGTATTTGATTATTTGAAACAGGAAATATTTAAGGTACTGAAATACCTTAAATATGATTTGGTTTTATAAAAAACTAAGGTTACAAGTAGAATACAAAAATCTTACATGATTTACTATATAATTAGGTAAAGACATTAATAGTTACTTTAAACAGAGTATGAGCATAATACTTGGAATCAACTGTGCACTCTGTCCTGGCAACCACCACCCTGGCCCAAACTATCATCTTCTTGCTGCTTGACATTATGTTTACCAGATCACAGCCAGAAAGAGCTATTTAAAATAGAAATCTAGCCAGGTGCTGACGGCTCACACCTGTAATCCTAGCTACTCAGGAGGCTGCGATCTGAGGATGAAACTTTTATCTCCAATTAACCACTTGAAAACTGGAAGTGGAGCTGTGGTTCAAAGTGGTAGAGCTCTAGCCTTGATCAATAAAGCACAGGGATAATGCCAAGGATCTGACTTCAAGCTCCAGGACCAACAGGAGAAAAAAAAAAAAAGAAAAAGAAATCTGATGATCATCCTCTGCTTTAAGTCTCTCAGCCAGCTTTTCTTATTATTTTTGTGTCGGTGCTTGAGCTTGAACTCAGAACTTTTTCACTCAAGGATCTACCACTTGAGCCAGACATCCACCTCCAGCTCTTTTTTGTCAGTTGTGGGGCATGAACTTGGCCTGGGTGCTGTTCCTGAGCTCAAGGTGAGCGCTCTACCACTTGAGCCACAGTGCCACTTCCGGTTTTTTATTGGTTTATTGCAGACAAGAGTTTCAGGGACTTTCTTGAGCAGGCTGGCTTTGAACCACTATCCTCAGATCTCAGACTCCTGAGTAGCTAGGATTACAGGTGTTAGCCACTGGTGCCCGGCTCCATCTCCAGCTTTTTGATGGTTAATTTGAAGTAAGAATCTTAGGAACTTTTCTGCCTGGCCTGGCTTTAAACCGGGATCCTCAGATCTTGGCTTCCCGTGTAGCTAGGATTACAAATTTTTCCATTTAAATAAAGACTAAACCCCTTAAAAAGGCCTTTAAGTCTCTATGTGTTATAACCCTATACCTCATCTGTTCCTTACTCACTCATCCATATAACTGTGGACTACCACATTCCCACTACCAATTCTGTCACAGAATCTTTACCATTGCCTCTATCTCAGTCTTAGCCTATTTTATATTGCCGTAACAGAGTATTATAGACTGGGCCACTTGTAAGAATAGCAGTTTTTTGTTTGGGGGCCACATCTACTACAGAACTTCTTGACATGTCATCCCATGAATGAATGTGGACAGGCAAGAGAATATATATGAAGTGAGAAGTGAACTTACTTTCATAACAAACTTTCCCTCAATAATGAATCTGCTCCAATGGGTATCCCTATAAACAATGAACTAACTAATCCATTTATAAGGAAGAGGCCCCCCCACCCCTGTTTTTGTTGGTGGTGGTGGTCATAGGGCTTGAACTCTGGGCCTGGGCACTGTCCCTCAGCTCTTCAGCTCTAGGCTAGCTCTCTACCACTTGAGCCACAACGCCACTTCAGTTTTCTGAGTGATTTATTGAAGTCTCATGGACTTCCTGCCCAAGCTGGCTTTGAACCATGATCCTCAGATCTCAACCTCCTGAGTAACTAGGATTACAGGTGTGAGCCACCGGCATCAGGCTAGGAAGAGCCCATTATACCGAAGAAGCTGTAAGACTCAGTGCATGCTTTGGTGCATTCCCCTTTCTTTTTGGCATGGTGACTGACAGTGTTCCACCAGCTTTCAGCACTAAGTACAACAAACAGGCCCCATACTGACCCATGAGAACATAACACTGAGATCCAGTAATAGTTCTATGCTAGTCTATGTAAAGTGTTGGTAGTTTTGAGAGGTTTGCTACATAATCCAGTTCATCATGACTGATACAGTGTCTTTCTCTCTGAACAGATTACAAGTGCCATTAGGGTAGGAATGATGCATAATAAATGTTGAACAAGGGCTGGGAAGGTGGCTCAGTGGTAGAGCGCTTGCCTTGCATGCTTGAGGCCCTGGGTTTGATTCCCCAGCACCACATAAGCAGAAAAAAGAAGCCAGAAGTGGTGCTGTGGCTCAAGTTGTAGAGTGCTAGCCTTGAGCTGAAGAGCTGAGGAACAATGCCCAGGCCCAGAGTCCAGGCCCCATGACCGGACCCTCCCCCCAAAAAAATAAAAATAAATGTTGAACAAAATACATGCTGAATTCTAATAAAAGCTTTATCCCTTAATCTCTTCCTACCTCTCCAAACTGAATTTCTTTTTCTTTATTCATAATCACCACATGTTTAATTGGAAATGGCTTCAAAGAATGGTTATCCACACTATATTTTCATTTTGATGAGGTCTTTTGACCATGTCCCTATTGTTCATGAGTTCACAACTTTCAGCTACATTTCCAGAGTCATGTTGAGTCTACCCTGCAGAATCTAGATTTCCTTGTCAACTATCTGTGACATATGTAAACAAAGCTGGCTGGGGCCAGAGAGTGTACTTTGTCAGTAGAATAGCTAACTTCTTTACATAAAGGTTGAGTGCATGCTATTTCATCAGTGCCCAGAAATCCATCATCCTCAGATTTACCTGCAGGACTATCGTCATTCCACTAACAGTGAGCAATGGAAGCACATATATGCAAGCGCATACTCTTCACAGTGGTTATAGACCCTATGATCTAAACAGGGCTGACATTTTGGGGTTCTAAGGGTTGCATATGCCATAAGAAAACGCCTTTATCAACCTCTAGAGCTGATTCCCTAAAGAAATTGATTTGAGATGAGGTCAGTCTGTCATCATGAAGCATGTTAGGATAAAAGGTAGCAAAAGACAAAGGATCTCTGACTCTATTGAGGGCTTCCACATTAACTCAGTTCTAAATAGTGGGAAAAAGGAGACTAGCAGATAGAAAATTGCAAGCAAAGTAACTGTAGTAGCGATCACTGAATGCACAAACAAGGCAGTCAGCTCTGACTGTCTTTGCTGGTTAAAACAAGATGCTAGAGAAGTTACAGCATTAAATCCCCAGTTGGTCTGTAATCTGGTATTTGAGCACCATTTCACTGAGAAATAGTACAAATATGTAGATGTGCAGGTTGTGAGGGGTTCAACCTAGATTTGCAAATGAGGCTCCAGCTGAACTTGGAGCATTTGTGGGTGACATGCAGCCTACATATAACCACATTTTCCTCTTCTAGATTACTTTTGTGGCCAGTATTATGAAACGAGTGGTGAAGGGGCTTTCAGCTTCATTTCAGCTGCTGAGTCCCTGCCAGGCAGTTCTGTTGTACCAGCAATTTTACATACTCAAGAGCTGCTTGAAGTACAGCAAGCCTCTTGCTGAGTATATCAGGAACGACTACAGTGAAGAATTCAGGTAAGAGAAATGTCTGCATCTAATCTGCCATAAAATCACTCATTTCTGATTTTCATGCCAATTCGCACTATAGTCCAACAATCAGAAGATTAGGTGGTGATGATAATTTCTGTATTTGTTTTGAACAACCTTTTGATCAGAGGTAAGATAGGATAGGAGAGAATTCTAAGAATTATTGTCCCTTAGTGGATATTTTCAGGTCAGAAATCACTAGTGAGACTTAGAAGATCTATTTCTTACTCATTGTCTTTTCTTGAATCCTGCAGCCCACAGAAGTTGTAATATTTTTTAATCTGCTCTAATTAAGGGTAACAAGTTTCATGTGCGGATCAAAATTAGGGACTGTAAATTTACTTATTATTCGAAAAAACTTCATGAAGGAGGAACAATTAATGAATACTTCTGTCTCTCTCACTTCATTTTCCCTTCTTTCTGTGACAAAAGTAAGGGAGGCTGGTTTCATCAGCCAGCCTTTTCTCCTGCACCTCAGGGGTGGCACTTCATTTAAAGGTTGGCAAAGTCAAGTGCACTTAGCAGCACATCCTGCATTAGTACTGAAGGAGAAACCCATGTTGTGTCTACCTTCAGATGAAAATGATGCAGCCAGCACAGTTTTATCACTAGCTTGGAGGGAGACATAAAGGATGTGGAGGCTTACACTATGGCCTTATATTGGCCTTTAAATAAAGTTCAGCCCTATTTGTAGGCTTGGTTTTTGCTCCATATATATGTCCATTCTGTCTACTGTAAAAGGGATTTGTCTGGGTCTAGGCTGGTCCCAAGACCTCAGTTCCCACCCACCCTTTCCTTTGCCTCCCTCCTCATCTTTTTCTCTTTATGGTAAGGAAAACCTCACATAGCATAAAATTCACCATTTTATAGTGTAGAATTCAGTGGCTTTTAATAATTTTCACAGTGTTTGTAACCATCATTATTATTGAATTACAGAACATTTCCATTAGCCTAACAAAAACTTAGTACTGGTTAAGTACATCTCAGTCTTCCCTCACTCAGCCCCTAGCAACCACTAATCTACTTACTTGTCTTTATGGATTTTGTCTAAATGATAGCACCCAAAAACATGGCCTTTTTGTGTCTGGTGCCTTTTTTTTTTGCCAGTCATGAGACTTGAACTCAAGGCCTGGGCACTGTCCCTGAGTTTCTTTAGCTTGAGCCACAGCACCACTGCCAGCTTTTTCTGTTTATGTGGTACTGAGGAATTGAACGCAGGGCTTGATGCATGCTGGATAAGTACTCTACCACTAAGCCACACTCCCAGCCCTTCTCGTGCCTTTTACTTAGAATGGTTTTAAGGTTTATCCATGGTGTAGCATATATGACACAACTAATTTTTAAAATATGGTTATCAAGGGCTGGGAATGTGGCTTAGTGGTAGAGTGCTTGCCTTGCATGCAAGAAGCCCTGGGTTCGATTCCTCAGTACATAAACAGAAAAAGCTGCAAGTGGCGCTGTGGCACTGTGGCTCAAGTGGTAGAGTGCTAGCCTTGAGCACTAGAAGTTCAGGGACAATGCCCAGCCCCTGAGTTCAAGCCCCAGGACTGGCAAAAAATAAAAAAAAATAAAAATACACACACACACACACACACACACACACACACATATATTTATCAACATATAAAAATCAGGACAACTGGCAAAAGTGGTGTCAGTGTCCTAGGATTATTAGGCATGAATTACTTGCCCCCAGCTTAGGTTTGAAGTGATTTTCAACTTACTTTGTATTTGAATATTTCAGTAACTATTAAAAATACTGGCCTCAAACCAGATGCCGGTGGCTCATACCTGTATCCTAGCTACGGAGGAGGCTAAAGTCTGAGGTTCATGGTTCAAAGCCAGGCCAGTGTGAAAAGTTGGTAAGACTGTAATTAACCACCAGAAAGCTGAAAGTGGAGCTGAGGCTCAAACATAGAGCACTGGCCTTGAGCAAAAGCTCAGGGATGGTGCCCTAGGCCCCAAGTTTCAGTTCTAGGAACACGTACATGCAAGCTTGCATGTGTGTGTGTGGGGGGGGTGCATGTGTGCATATGCACACACACAGTACTGGCCTCACATATAAAATTTCTATTTTTGTTTAGGTTAGGTCCTTGGCAGTGACTTATTTTTTTGCCAGTCCTGGGGCTTGAACTGTCCCTGACCTTCTCTGGTTCAAGGCTAGCACTCTACCATTTGAGCCACAGCACCACTTCTGGCTTTTTCTGTGTAGGGCTTCATGAATGCTAGCAAGAACTTTACTCTAAGCCACATCCTAGCTCCAGCAGTGACATTTAAAAAAAAAAAAGTTTTCCAGCATGGAGGACTGAGAACCACTCTTTTATGGCATCCATTGAATTGGCTGAAGACTTAGTTCTATCGCTTCCTGGGCATTTCCTATAATTTTATGGAGGCCATGGGCATAAACACCACCCTTTCCTCTTTCCTTGTTATCAGCTCCCTATTTGTATTGCTAGAAAAACCAGGAAGTAGGAGCCTCAGAACTTGCTGTGCTGAGGACAGTCCTGGCTTCCTCAGTAATGCTTTGAGTGGCTAATACATTATTAATGAAATTCACTTCCTTTGCTCAAGTAAAGTGCTTCAGGAAGCTGAAAGGCACCACATATCAAAGAGTTTCTAGGTCACTTTTTTTTTTAATAGAGGAGAAAGATGAAAATGCTGACTGAGGTTTATGGTTGAGATTCCCACACCATAATCCTGTGCCAGAGAGTGTGAATGTATTGATGGGACCAATTTGGAAATGCTTACTCTTTAAGCTGTTTTGTTTCTTTCTTTGTTGTTGTTGTTTCTTTTTTAAAAAAAATAACTTGCAGGTACTTCATTCACATGCCAGCCTTGGAAAAGAGGCTCCCATTGTGTTATCCTATTGCCCAGCCGACCACTCAGCTTTTCCATGAAGTTCTGAAATTGGTTGAACAGGAACAATGGTAAAAGATTACTAAGGGCATAAACATGCTAAGTGGAAGTCAATATTTACAAGAAACTTCTTTAAAGGAGTTTTTGGTTAACTGAATTGTTGAGATGAGGACAAAACAGTTTATCACTTGGTCTTTATTTTTTTATTTAAGTAGTTGTATAAAGGAGTTGCCATTTAACAAAGCAGTTTATGAATACAATGCATCTTGATAAATGTCACCCCTGTCAACATTTGTCTCCCACTCCTTCCTTCACTTTTCTTAATTTTATAGGATATACACTGAATTCTTGACCGCAGTCTCCCTCCCTTTTCTCCTCTTAATTCATTCACCCTTCTTATCACTTGATTTGTAAGTTATTATTGTTAATGTTTATTTTAATTTTTTGTGGTACTGGGGATCAAACCTGGGCTTAACACATGCTAGACAACTGCTTTTCCACTGAGCTATATCCCCAGCCTAAGACACATTTTTTGGATTTATTCAGCATCCATGAGATCTACAAAGGTTTAAGTGTCATATTAGTAACTCTTGAAGAGGTGTTAAAAGTTTTTGTATTTTTTAAAAAATCTGATTCAAAACAACACAAAAACCAGTCTAGGCTGGTTTCTTATCAGTGATAAGAAGCCTTGCCTATCATTGATGGGGAGCTGGTTCATTCCCCGGTAATATAAAAAGAAGGCTGGGTATCAGTGATCTGTAATCCTAGCTATTTGGGTGACTGAGATTCGGAGGATTATGGGTCCAGCTAGGGCAGAAAATTCTGACTATCTCAATGGAAGAAACTAGGCATAGTGGCACACACCTATCATCCCAGCTGTGAGGGAAAGTATAAATTGGCAGATGGCAGTCCAGGTGTGTACCCAGGCAGGAAGCAAGAGCCTGTCTAAAAAATAACCAGTGCCTGGACAGATGTATGGTAGTCCTCAGTTTAAAAGAAAGATGAAAGAGAGGAGAGATGAGAGAGAAGAGAAGGGGGGGGGGAAGAGACAGAGAGGGACAGAGAGTGTGTGTATGTATAGATACCAGTAAAAAAAATCGTAAATCCATTGTACAGTACATGCTAAAAACTAGTGTTCCTCCTGAAGAGAAGTTTTTAAAGACATGAAAACCTACATAGTGAAATTAAGCCCATAGAAAGATAAGTTCTGGTGTTTTGTTGGTGTCATAATGGTTAATGGTGTGAAGCCATTAACTGCAACAGCCAAAGAGAGGTGGCTGTGGGAAGTATAAACTACAGAGGCCACCAGAGGGACACTAAGGAATAGGAGAAAACTCTTTTCTACCTGTACAAGTCCTAGTGACCAAGTATTCATGGAAGAATGAACATGACAACTCATGCATAGCTGCACCAGAATGTCAGTTCCTTGTCTACCACAGGGAAAGAAGGCTGGCCTTTCTCTGATAAAATTAAATGTATCCTGCCTTAGGCATTTTTGGGTCAATCTGAGTAGACATTGTCTAGGAGTGGTTATACCTCTCCCAAGACCCTTTAAAAAAAACATCTCCATTCTATCCTATAGCTGTGAATGAACCCAGCAAATGCTTAACTTTGGTATCGTTGAGAACTATAGAACTTGGACTTTTAGGGAGCTAGGAAATGGGCTTTCCATTACTATGATTTGAGGGGAAAAAAATCTACCTCAAAGAGCTCCCTGGCAGGGCTGGGAGGGTGGCTCAGTGGTAGAGTGCTTGCCTTGCATGCATGAGGCCCTGGGTTCGATTCCTCAGCACCACATAAGCAAGAAGAAAAAAAAGCCGGAAGTGGCGCTGTGGCTCACGTGGTAGAGCGCTAGCCTTGAGCTGAAGAGCTGAGGGACAGTGCCCAGGCCCAGAGTTCAGGCCCCATGACCGGACCCCCCCCCCGCACACACACACAAAAAGAGCTCCCTGGCCAGACTTGCCTTTCTCTGTGTGTAGTGTTAACTAAAGCTTGTTGAGATGACTTAACAGTTTTTATTGTTAACTGGTTCTATAATACTTAATTTTATAATGATCTCACAGATTATCTCTTGTATTTTTACTGATTTTTCTAAGATGATTTCTTAGATTCAATGTGTACATAGTTTCATATACATTCTATGTAAAAACAGACCTGCTTGAACTAGGAGTATAGCTCAGTGGTAGGGCACTTGTCTAATACATGAGGCCCTATGTGATCATTGTAAATGTTGAGTTTTCCCAGGCTGTCCTGGAATTCTTGCCATTTCGTATAACATTGTTTCTACAGAGAACTTACCTTGTCTTCTATACTGCCCTTCTACAAATGATTTGGAAAGCATTTATGAGTATTTTATTTCCATGGGCAACTATAACCACCAGAGGGCATAAGTGGATTAAGAAGAAAAAGACCCAATTATGGCATAATTGAACACTGATTTGTTAAAGTGATATTGGATATGTTAACTCACTATAGCAACTCTTTTGTTATGTATGTCATTATGCAGTATACCTCAAATATACACAAATTCATCTTTTAAAAAGGAAACTACCCCAAACAAAAAATTTTAGTTGTATGTACCTTGTTAAATATATGCACTTTTCATACAGCACATCTTTAGAACTTTTTATTTGGCATTATTGGAACTCTTTATTCACGGAGAAGCCCCTGGCAGCCCATTCTATTTTGTGCTTCCATAAAATTGATTACTTTTGGTCCCTTAGACTTGTGGGAACATGCAATATTTGTCTTTTTCTGACTAATTTATTTTACTTAGTATATAATGTGCTCAAAATCCAAGCTGTAGTATAAGACTTTACGTTTTGTGTTTTTCTTTCTTTTTTGTCATGGGACTTGAACTCTGGGCCAGGGTGATGTCTCTCAGCTCTTCAGCTCAGGGTGAGTGCTCTACAACTTGAGCCACAGCCCCACTTTGTTTTCTGGTGGTTAATTGGAGTTAAGTCTCATGGACTTTCCTGTCTGGGCTGGTTGGGATGCTCAGATTTCAGCCTCCTGAGTAGCTAGGATTACAGGTGTGAGCACTGGTGCCTGGCAACTTTATACATATATATATATATATTTTTTTTGGTCGGTCATGGGGCCTGAACTCTGGGCCTGGGCACTGTCCCTCAGCTCTTCAGCTCAAGGCTAGCACTCTACCACTTGAGCCGCAGCACCACTTCCAGTTTTTTCTGCTAATATGGTGCTGAGGAATCGAACCCATGCAAGGCAAGCACTCTATCACTGAGCCAGCTTCCCAGCCCGACTTCATGTATTTTTAAAGGCTGCTTATTCATCATCATTTTCTTTATCCCTTGTTAATATTCAAGTTGTTTCTCCTTTTTTACTACTATGAGTAAGGCTGTAATGAACACACAAATTCAAAGTCCTGAAATCTTGTTTTAAATTATTTTGGGTGCATACCCAGAAGCGGTATTGCTGAATTATATGGGAGCTCAGTTTATCATTTTTTTGAGCCCTATACTGTTTTCTATAATGGCTGCATCATTTTACATTCCTACCAACAGTGCACAGAGGTTCCAATTTTTCTTATCTGGTCACACTCATTATTTTATGTCATTTTGATAATGGCCATCCTGGCAGTGTGAAGTGATGGCACACTGTGATTTATGTTTCCCTGATGATTAGGGATGTTAGCTGTCTTTGGATGTAACAGTTGTTCACATATTTGTGTGCTTTCTTTGGAAATGTATCAGGTCTTTTGTTTCCCTACCCTCCCTTTCTGATGTTGGTCATGGGGCTTGAACTTAGGGTGTAGGTGCTGTCCCTGAGGCTTTTTTATTTTGCTCAAGGCTAGTGCCTCATCACTTGAGCCACAGCTTCTCTTCTGGCTTATGGGTGGTTAACTGAAGGTAATAGTCTCTCAGACCTTTCTGCCCAGGCTGACTTCAAATTGTGATCCTCAGATCTCAGCCAGGTGAATGGGATTAAAGGCATGAATGGCTGGTGCTTGTCCATTTGCCCATTTTTAAATTTTTTATTGTTATTATAAAGGTGATGTATAGAGAGGTTACAGTTACATAAATAATGAACGCATTTCTTTTTGGACAGTGTCAGCCCTTCCCTTGCTTGCATCCTCACCCACAAGTTGTATGGTTCATTTTCAACAGTGTCTAGTGTCTAGTGAGTACCACTGCTGTATTTGTTCACCCTTTGTCTCCCTCCATTTCTATGCCTCCTTGCCCTCCCCCAAACAGATAACCAAGTAAGACAAACAGAAAACAGAAAACAACAACAAAGGAATACAACTCCATTTCCTACAAATTTTTAAATAAAAAAATTCTCTACAATATTTTAAATAAATATTATTTTATATGATCAGTCTTTGCCCAGTTTAAATCGTTTTCTTTTTGCTTTTGAACCGAGTGCAGTCCTTACATGTTTTCAATATTAATCTATTATCAGATAATATGATTTGCAACAGTGTCCTCTCATTTCATGTCTTTTCATTTTGTGGATCATTTCCTTTGTTACATGGAAGTTTCCTAATTTGATTTAACCTTGCTTGTCTAATTTTTCATTTGTCTCCTATATTTGTGGTGTTATATCAGCTGTAATCCTCAAGCCTTAAAAATCTATAAACCTTCAAAATCAATTCATTTTTCTGTCTTGTGTCTTTCATATGTACTTATATAAATCTGTGTGAAAAAAACTCCTTTTGCTAAAATTTCATTTATTCCTGAAAGCATACAAAGTCATTTTAGAAACAAAACTTCTCATATAATCACATTTATTGAGAAAAGTTGGAAGACTTTAGTAGCTTTATAACCAGATGAAAGAATTTGGCTGATGCTGTGGGTCGGGATTGCAACACAACAAAATGACTCCTCAGTGCCAAAAGTCTCAAGACCGAATCCAGTTGCCAATATGACTTCAGATGATTCAGTGGAAACAAAAAGGAAAAGATGGCATGGAGTAGTAATTTTTAAGCAGACTGAGAAAGAGTTTTCTAGAAAATATATGCAGTGGCTCTAAACAAATGCATGGGAGTGGGTGTGTCCATAAGTGGGGTGTGTGAACTGGATCTGATCCAAGAACTAAAGTGGCACACAAAC